TAGTTAAAGTTTCGTTATAACAGTCCGGTAATTGCAGATATGCCGACATTCACATATAAGATTAGACCAGAAGATAAGAGTTGGATAAATGACTGGTCCCATTGGGTTATCGAAGCATTTATATTATTATTTTCTAAGCGTAATAAATCATTTATTTAACAAATATTCACGGTAAAATAACCTTCATACTACATATTTCTATTTTGTGAATTTACTTTAATTATCCCGAAATATTTCCATGATACGAAAACACTTTGATTATCTCGACATATTTTTATATTATAAAAATATTTCGATTTTTTCGGCGATGCACCACAGACACTTAGAGCCACTGACACGATTTACTTTCTCACGTATGAGACAAAATAAACACGGGGTGTTTCGGAAAAGACAGAAGTCCAATGCACAAACACTTCATTAATAAAGTACCAAAATAAAAGGAGCTTAGTTCTTACTTTTACATTTAGTTTAGTTGGTTTCATTGAAATCTTCAGTTCTCTGTTGCTGATTCACACTTTGCGATCCTGTATTTGAGAAATTATTCCTATCGTCCTACTGAATCAGAAACTGGCTGCGTTGATCTTCTCACATCTCAACGCTAGTGGAAAAGAAGCTTGGTTGATCTCACTAGTAATCACATAACCATGACCCCATCTACTTATAACGGTCCCTTTTTATATTATACTTTTCCTTTATTCTAGTCTAATAACCATCGCTGACCCAGCTAGTTTTCTGTTTCATTTATTCAAGCAGCTTGACAACTGCATTCCCAAATTATTGCATAGGGTAATACAAATAATGTAAGTTGCATAAATCATGGAATACGGATAATAATTTATCATTTACACTATTCACATTTGATTTCGGCTATGTTGACAAGATAAAATGGCAACGTTTGAAAACCGAACATTGTGCAACAACTCTACGGATGGACGCGAAAGACAAAATCGATGCTAACAACCGTTAATAATAGCTTGCCATCGATTTTGAAAGTATAAGGCAAGATAAGAAAGTTTGACCGTTTTCAGGATAATATATGAAGTCGGTAATATGGAAGACATGATTCCATGACGGCATTTCATGATGACTTCGGAAAAATAAGATGTTGTAGGCTAAGGAAAACTGTCGGCCAAGTATGCTATGAAATTGAACTTTTCAGCTGGATAAGGCCAAAGTGTTATATTAGAGTGTATGTGAACGAAGATTAGAGAAAGTACTTAGACGACGAAATAATATATCAAAAATAAAAGAAATACGGGGAACCATGAACTTATCTAAACATCAAAGAAGTGGACCCTTCACAGATCATTAATGGATCCTTCACAGATCATTAATGAGATCATTAATGGACCCTTCACAGATCATTAATGAGATCATTATATTTATATCGAAATCTGTGCCGTTATGCAAGTTTTCAAATCAACGAAAAGAAGTTTCTTTGAACGCGACTATTTCTTTTAAGGCGTTACTTCGTCATGATCATATCTGATTAAGGACTATCTCCCTAGGATCATATAACTGAGACTTAACTACATCTTTATCCGTAAAATCGAATTCAACATATCTTTGGATGAAAGCGTTTCATCGAAAAAGAATCCGAGCTGTACAGCTGAAGAGAGGGCAATTACGAGATTTAACTTCACTGCTGCAGAAATTTCCGCCAGGAGTTACCCGTTAAATATCACAGATTCGCGTTATGGCTGAAACATGCTTTTTAAAACTTTCCTGGAAAAAAATTCAATGACGGTTCGACAAAAACACAAAGCGAATATATAATCGGCGTGGCAGAATACGCTGCATCACTAAAAACTGCTGGAAAATTTGTTGCAATAACGTATAGTTTCCCAATACTTGCTTTTAAAGTTCTGAACCGATTTTGATGAAAAATATAGTCAATAAATACAAAACACTAAATGGAAGAAAACAGGATTTATTGCACTGAAATTGTTGATGTTGAAAATAAAGAAATTTCGCCCCTTCATAGTTTTGCATCGCAAGATCGGCAACTCATGGTATTAGTATTTATCGTCTACAGTTATCTCATAAGAATAATATTGAATGTTCGAGAAAATCTCGCTAAATTGTCCCATAAGTCTACTGAAATTAAGGTTAAAAGTTTTATTGGGCAAGATCTATAAGTGCAAGTAGCAATTTTCGTGTGAAAGTGTCTTCACTTAAAGGAAAACCAGATATTAGTAAATTCATGAGTAATTGTTTTACGAACCCAGTTCCCATTCCATATATAACCTATTATCATAACTAGCGAAGTCTTCGGAAAAAGTAAACAGGTTTCAACAAATCTAGTTTCGATTTCAACCATTACCCACTACTTAAAATATGACATTATTGTCTATGACCTTAATCAGCGTTATCCGATTACTCACTTATCAAGCAGGAAAGAATTAAGAAGTTTATGGATCACCATGGAGTTTATGGATTAACGCAATAAAAAAAAAAAGAAACAGACCTCAAAACAAATATTATTCTTGTTTTGCTTGCCTCACTTAAACAACTCTTCAGAAGTTCACTTTATGACAATAAAAACTGAGCCTGGAAATGGTTTAAATACACGCCTTCAACCTTCAGAAAAGCGTAAGTATTGAGAGACGTTATAGTTTACTATGCTCATAACGTTAAAGAGCAACGTTCAAAACCGAACATTGCGCTAGCATAAAAAAGGAACTTACCTACCAATTGTATTTTGGTATGCAAAATATATGAACAATACTGAAAACGTACACGTTGTGGTCATTTGCATCTTGATGAAACGGACACTGTTAATGAAGAGATTCACGAAATACAGTAAAAGAGAGAAAAAAGAAACTAAGAATTTAGAATAACCTCCATCGATACAGCGTAATTCTCATCACATCGTAATTCAAAATTATTGTTCATGATTCTCGGAAATACTTTTTTTTTTTTTTTTTTTGTCGTAAACGGTGAAAGCTAGCGATTGGGTGACATTCGAGCTTCACCTGACCATCCTAAAGCACCTTCTTCGAATCATTTTCTTCATCATAAGTCGATCGCTGTGTGTGTTTTGAGAAATTGGACTTCAGAGAGCAAACAGCAAACATTGGACTTCAGAGAATAATGTTTATGAAGCATCCATCAAAGTGCTCTACAAAACATAATCCTCACAACTGCAAAATCTTTTATGCAAAGTTAACTAAGTTAACTAACAGGCAGTCGTGCATTCGCACTGCGCAATCATCATCCCCACGTGTTTATCTCAAGACCCCAAATCTGATCGATTTGCACCAGTCACATCATACTGTACGCGGAAATCAAGACTAGCACGGGAATCGGACAACCGCAAAGTTCCAAAGCTGACCGAAAAAAGGCTCATTTATTTGCGGATGTCCCTTAGACTTCTTCAGCTGTATAGAGGCATATGAGATTTCCCACCAGGAAGAGTTCAGGAAAGTTTTGGGAAGTTCTGCACTCAATTCTAAAAAGCAGAAAGCTTGCAACTTGGGAAAGACGTGGAAAAAGATGGGATACCTAACACTTTTGGATGTACCTGTCGTCAAAGATAAGCAATGAATATGTGAGAGGTTCGAAAGCCTGGGATAGATGATGCGAAAGATGAAACCGAATCTTTCAAGAATAAGTCTTCACTCTAATTCAAGCAGTCTCATAATGATGAAATCCTTTCATTTTCACTAAGAGTGTGAACGTCTCTTACATCACAGATGAATACTGATAAAGATCTCTCTCCCCATATACATATATATATATATATATATATATATATGCAGTTTCTCAATGCTTACGCTTTTCTGAACGAAGAAGAGTGTATTTCAAAGCATTTCTAAGCTCAGTTTTCACTGTTGCAGAATAGTCGTTGGTGTGATGTTACTCATATCGAATAGTTCAATATCCATTCTCAAGTGTAGCTTCATTTGGTCTTTGGTATCTGTTGTGCGCTGATACTGCCTAATCCTAATCTTGATCATACGCTTTCTTCATTCAACATTCTTTTGCCCAGTGGCATTTATGTAACTGTACCACTTGCATTGCTGTCTTCCTTCCTTTATACAAGGGTTATTGAAAAATCTGGTAAAAGTTCTAAATATGCCCACAACTATAGGAGAAACGAGATTTCAAAAATGACCAGTACAAAATATGGGTTATCGATGTTTTTACTTACTATTCAGAATGCGTTTACTTGTCGATATTAGATCTAGGTTTATACAATTCGTTACTTGGAAATGGAGGGTCGTACTGAATACACATCGTCCTGCTAAATATGGTCATGACTAGAGGTGTACTCAGCAGTGCCTCATTTCCACCTTTTCGGTCGTTTATTGCGATACGCTTTTCCATGTGTATTTTCAGAACTTGAGTGATGTAAGGAAAAACCGAAACAATTTTAGTATCGAAATATATTATAAACAATCTCCGATATAATCCTAGCTAATGTGAGAATGTCGACATATTGTAAAGAATTTCTGGTCAATCAATCCTAACTTCTTGGATTGAGGTAAATAAACTCCCCTTATATAAGCTCTAAACCCAGAAGGCTAAGGACATTCTGTTTCATCGACACATAGCGATGTCTTCTTCTAACCCCGTTCACTTTCGAATCGTCACTATTATCGTATAATTCAATTGTTTGAATTATTTCCAAATTTGTGGCTGAATTATTCACTGCAAATAAACTTTCCTGCTGATAGACTGCTCACTACACAATTACACAAATAAACGATTTTCAGGACAATGCCGAAAAGCAGAAAATACCGTTCGGATATTGTAAGATGCACTTCAATCCTTATCAGTCGAAGAAGGCATATTGAGATGGTTCGCATCCGGTCATTCAGACTAAAAATAAGGATTCAATTAATTATGGACTCTTAATGTATGAACTCAATTTTTGCATGAACTCTTCCCTTATATTTCGATTACTAATTCAAGCACCTCATTTTATCCATTCTCTTCTCTATTCTTCCCATCCCACTCCTCATGGGAGTCTGAGGTAGGCATGAAATAAAAATTTTCGCATTTTCGGTTTTTTTTTTGTTCTAAATCCCGATCATATTTTATTATTACCTTATTTTGAACTACTCGATCCAGCTGTTTAGTTGCAATAATCATCCGCAAAGAAGAAGAGGGAAGATATGTTGTTTGAATTAGGAAGATGATTACTGCAAACTGGATAATCGTGTAAGTGTGGATGCTACCTATTTTTAATGACTGATTTGCGTCTTGGAAGGAAAGTTTTTCACTGCAACATTTTACTGGCTCAATTTTATTAGCAAGAAGAGTTTCCAGTCAGGACCAACACTCCAATGTACGCACCTAAGCAGTGGTACAAAATAAAGTAAAGCCAAATGGAGGATGCTTTGTCTGTTCATCCATTTGTCCGTTTATTTTAGCCGACAATCCATCGGTTCTATTAGCCCACAGTTTTGATTTTGGTCTCCAGAATACCTCAAATTAAATTCGCTTGAAGCACCTATTCTGACCCGTTGAGAACAGAGGATAGCAAAGTCTGAGAAGGTATGAGGCAATTTACCAAATATATATAAACCCATTGTTGAACTTTAGCGTGAAAGAAATAGTGGTAGCGTTGCTTTGTTGATTATAAGTTATGTTCCTGTACTCGGTCCTTATTTTAATGATAAAAAAAAAGTTATTTTATTGATATTTTTATCTCATATGCATAAGATCCTTATCTTAAAGATAACATTCTATTACTGTTGTTATTTATCGGTTATTTATACGTTATTCACTTTTTTATTCACATATGCATAATAGCATCGTTCTTTTTCCATCTCTTTGCTGTTTCTTTCATTTTAGTGAATAAAATTATCAGTTTTGTATTTCTTTGCAGATCTGCTAAATTAATTTTTCGTTATTTGCGCACACATAAGTAATTGGCATGCTATATGCAAATAAACATGACTGTTAGTT